CTGGAGAAGGTGAAAAATGGCTGAACCGGAAGTTCTGGAAGTATGGAAATGGGCCCGTTTTCGGCTTCCGGAGGGCCTCTGGACCCTGGAAGAGGCCATTTTTGCCCTCCCAGAGGCCTGAAGGAAAACTCCAGATCCTGGGAAAGGTGAAAAACGGCCAAACCAAAAGTTCTGGAAATCCAGAAATGGGCCTGTTTTGGGCTTCCGGAGGCCTTCTGGAGCCCGGGAAAGGCTTTTTTCACTCTCCCAGAGGCCTGAGGGAAGCCTCCGGACCCTGGAAAAGGTGAAAAACGCCCCCCCGGACTTCCGGTAGGCCATGCCCACCATGGGTACGCTCACCCAGCAACCGGGCAGCGAACCAATTGCTGGGATTTTTGAACCCCACACTTGCTTGTAGTCTTCCCCAAGCCCTCTCCATTGCTGCAAATCTCATTTCCCCCCCCCCCAATATGTGTGGTATTTGTGGAAGAACATAGACAAAGACAAAGCCCAAATCTGATCCCTGAGAGAGCCAGGTGATGTTGACAGGACGTTTTGCAAGGGAGAGCCAGCCTGAAGAAGGACTAAAGGATCCCCAAGGCTTAACCTCCTGTCAGGATTATGGAAGGAAAGATAGGCATGTTCAAGGATAAGGGAAAGGGGCCCTTTCTGCTGTCCCTGATCGTGCCTGCCAAGAGTTGCGATCCTGGGAGAGGGGAAACAGAAGCAGAAAGACTTGGGAAATGGAATCTGAATCTTCTTGTCAAGGAATGAGTTTGGCACTGACGCTGTTCTGGTTCATATTTGGAGATTTTTTTGGTTTGGAATATTTCTCTGCAGTTAATCTTGTATTCTTGGCAACCTTTCGTAACCTTGAAAGGGCTTGCTCTTATCTGGGACAATTAGGTTGAATGACTCTTTGCTGTGAATGAACAGAATTCACAGAGACGCATTAAAAAGGTTTGCTTTTATATATACTTGGTGTTTATTTGATTTGAACGAGGCTTGGGTCAGAACAGAGGCAAGAAGTCCTACCAGGTGGGGGGAATGGACCAACCAAAAGGCTGAGGAGAGCTAGTTTGGTGTTGTGATCAAGTGACTAGGCTAGATCTGGGAGGCTATGAGTTCTAGTCCCACTGTGGGATTGAAGACATCAAGCTGGCCTTGGGCTAGTCTCTCTCTCTCTCTCTCTCTCTCTCTCTCTCTCTCTCTCTCTCTCTCTCTCTCTCTCTGCCCTGTGAAGGAGACAATGGCAAACCACTTCTGAAAAACCTTGCCAAGAAAACTGTAGAGACTGGTTCAGATGTTTACCCGAAGTAAAAACAAAAACTGTCTCAAAGGGACTTTGAGTTTGTGAAGCTACTACTATGTTTACAGCAGCTATGGACTCCTGCTTTTTTGCAAGACCAATACTGACTTTATTCCTGCTTCCTATAAAGGAGAGAGCCAGGAATAAACTGAACCTCATCCGTTGAAACAGGCAACATTCTGAAATCAGCTGGGCCCAGAGTTGATGTGAAAGTGTTAGAAAATACTTGGCAGGGAAGTTCTTGTAGGTAGACCTGAACGACAGACAAATCCTTCCATTTTGTTTTTCCTTTACAAACCAGGATGTTCCATTGTTTTCTTTCTCCTGGGCTTATTGGTACTTTTCTTCTTCTCCTCTTCAAGGCTATTAACACATTGGAGAACAGAATGTTAATGCTTGATGGGATGCCTGCAGTCAGAGTCAAAACGGAGCTGCTGGAATCAGAACAAGGGGTGAGTGTCAGCCTTCCGTTCTTCTCCATGCCGCTGAGATGTTTCTTGCTTGCTTAATCCCTTCATTTTGTACCCACAAAAAACAGTACGATTTTCTACCCGGTTTCTTCTCATCCTCAAGGTCATCTGGTAGAGTGGATGTCCTCTTGACTCTTGCTCTGAAAGTGTCATCTACAAGCTTGTCGGAGGCAGCAGAGGTAGTCCAAGAAACTGTTTTTGAGAGAAGAAAAGGAAAAAAGGCAGAGCCACGCTTTCACGTAGAGATTCAACCCAGTGGTGGGATTCAAAGTTCTTTTTTTTTACTACTGGTTCTGTGGGCGTGCCTTTATGGCCATGGCATGCTTTGGTGGGCGTGGCTTGGTGGGCGTGGCAGGGGAAGGATACTGTAAAATCTCCAAGTCAGAGGTGGTATTTGCCGGTTCTCCAAACTACTCAAAATTTCTGCTACAGGTTCTCCAGAACTGGTCAGAACCTGCTGAATACCACCTCTGATTCAACCACTCCAACAATCTCTTAGTATTTGTTGGTAAAGAAAATAAAGGGTGGGGATAGTTTTTTTTTCTCCTTTAACAATTAGCAATAATCCTACTAGTACATGTATCGTTGCAATAGTGTAAGTAAAGGTATCTGGTTGGTTAGAAATTCAGAGGAAGAGGCATTCTTTGAGCAATGTTGGAGCTAGTAGACCCTTTCCTGGACTTTTGACCTTGTCTTGGAAAGATTATGAAGGTGAAGTAAGTGCTGAGCCAATCCTGCAATGGTTGTATAATAGATCTTGTGGCCAGAAGCAGAATCCAGTTTTCCTGACTCTTTCCTTGCCCTGAACAGACAAACCCTTCAGAATGTTTTCTTCACCTTGGAGATTCTCAATCATGGTTGTCCCAAAGTTTCTGAAGCTTCTTGGATGAGAAGCAAAACATCTTCAAGGGGAAAAAAAACCCAAGGAAGTCCAGTTTCCTTTTGAAAAGCACCTTTGGAAAAATGTCTGCACTGTTCGGAGATGACTTTGTGCAATTTTCTCCTTATTGTCACTTCTCAGGGTGATTTCTAAAGCCCCAGACACTTGTCCAATAGCTTATTGTACCTCCCTTATCTGCCATTAGTGCTTCCTTATATCAAAGAAAAGTTAATCAGCATGAATGCAAAATTGCAGGAGGGAATTGGGTTCCCAGCATGGCTTTTCTGGGGCAGACCACCAAGCAGTGAGAAATCCCAAAGGTGCTTTCTTCCCCCCCAAACAGCTGGACTTTCTTGGTTTTTCTTCAAGGCATTTCACTTCTTCTCCAAGAATCCTCTTTAATTCTGATTTATATTCCCTGCAGTCATCATATCATTAGCGCTATAAATGTATAAAGAATATAAATCCTTCCATTCTCCACCATACAGTCAGAACTGAAGAAGCTTCTTGGATGAGAAGTGAAACATCTTTGAGCAAAACAAGAAAGTCGAGGTGTCTTTTGAAAGAAAGCATCTTTGGGACAACCATGGATGACTGAGAATCTCTATATACGAGCAGTGAAAAGAACAATACGACCTGAATTGTTCTAGGAATGTGGTGAAAGCCAAGATAATTTGCAAGGACAGAAAGTTATGGAGAGATAGAAGGAAGGGATCTTGATCTAAACTAGATTTAGCTGTCTCTTTTTCTTTCCTCCCATATCTTCTTGGGGGTCTTCATTTTCGGGCCACTTTTTCACTCTCTTTCTGCAATTGGTTTAATGTTTCTTGTTCCCAAAGGGGATAATATACTGCGATGGATATTAATGTGGAGTGTTCATTCATGCTTCCTCTCTCCCCTATGCTCCATGAAAAAGGGCTTCAGAGATCAAGCCTGCACATTCCCTAACCAGATCTTTTAGCTAGGTTCCTTATCCCAGCATTGCTGGCTTGGCGTCTGAAGATATGTCTCCCTCAAGCCCAGATCCTTCAAAGACAGTTTGGTTGGCTGTAAGAAAAGAAAAACAAAAATCAGAATTTCTGGCGCCCTTAAAAAAAAAAAAACTTGGCATGTTTCGTACTAGAAAACATGCCTTGCATGGCATCCATATGTACATTTCCATAATTGTAGAATTATCTAAAAGTCAACAAGTGATCCTACTCTTGTAGGAAAGTACAACAAATGATAATGTTGCAATCTTCTGGCATTTTCCACTCTCCCCGCACCCCAGAAAAAAAAGTCAGAAGGTCTGGATTTTCTATCTAGAAGCTCCTGGAACGAAGTGAGGCAACACAGCCATGAAATACCTTCATTTACCTTGAATAGCTCTTGACCTTCTTCTCCGGGGGTATCTTATAAAGCTCTCTACAGTTCTGTAGGGGTGAGGTAGACATGGTTCTTTTGTGCTCCACAGAAAGCTAGTCAAGTGTAGATGAGAAGTTACCTCCTGTGGCCGATAAACATGCTAAACAATCTTGTTTGTATTGTTCATTTTTATTTTGGGTTCTTTTTCTTAGGTTTTTTTTAAGTGCCGGCAATTTCACTTTATTGTTCTTTTGAGGTCCATATATAAAACTCAATTCCCTCCCATTTCTTCTAAGGGGAAGGGGAAGATCCATCTGTCTCCCTTCTATGCCTTACTGAGACTTCTTGTTACATAGCTCACATAAATTATCTTCCTGTTTATTTCATGCTTGGAGGAGGAAGCAAGGAGAGGATTTGGGGGAGGTGGGATTTTTCTCTTGGTGCCTCGTTACAGGCATGGAAGGTTGTCTGCTTCAAAATTTGGAGCAAAAGAAGGATAATAAGAATTGTGAAGTTCAGTGGACATTTTGGGGTTGTGTATCACGGAGAGCATTGAGTCTGAACTTCTCTCTTTCAGGCACACGGTATGTGATGCCACGGGGCACCCAAATATCTCTCCGTACTTAAAAATCTCACAATTAATGTTAGAAAGGCATCCCGTTTGTCTCATGGTGGAAGTCTCAAGGCTTCTGACAAGAACCTTTTAAGATAGCCTAGACAGATATCTGCCTCACACCAGGAATGGTTCTAGTTGAGGGCTCCTTAGTGCTCTCTGAGCTTACTTGTTTTCTTGTAGATTATTTCATTACCCAAACTAGGTAACATCATCAGGACTATCTAGCACTGATAATGTTACCCAGTTTGGGTAATGAAATGTTTGCAAGAAAACAAGCAAACTCAGAGAGCACCAAGGACCCCTTCATGTTAACCCTGAGCTAAAACTATCCTCCTTCATTAGGTCCTAGTCAGCTTTGGCTGATTTCAATAAAACTAAGATGCTTTGTGTCTGGGATGAGAGATTACCAATGATTACTAACAGTGTAGAGCATCTTAGCATTAGAACCCCCCATATTAAGTAGCATATTGGGCAGCAAAGGATCTCCAGCATTTTTGGGCTTGGACTAGTACTTCAGCATCTTCCCGTGTGATGTTTAGAGTCTTTAAGTCTTCCATGAATGTTCTTCACCATGTATTTCAAGGGCGTCCTCTTGGTTGCTTGGCATCAGTTGGGGCCCATCTCATTGCCATCTTGTGGATTCGATTGTTCTCTATGCAGAGAAGATGACCTGCAACTTGGAGTCTTCTACATGCTGTGTAGTTTGCAGGTTTCCTCCCGCCCCCTATTTCTTACTCTACATTGCTCCTGTAAACAGCAGGGTAGAGTAGGAAGTAACAATAACAACTACCACCAGCAAAAGGTAGAGGCAATATTTTCATACTATACCAAGGAAAATCTTCCCTGGTCATCAAGGCTGGGGTTGATTTGAGAGTATCTCGGCCTTTAAGCTCATGCACAAGTTGTGCTAGACTTCAGTACTGGCACAGTTCTGAAACAGATCTAGAACCCAGCAGAAACAGGTTCTTAACAGGGTTCAGTAGGAAACTCTTGGTCCAACCTAGGAATTGGGAATTCATATGATAATTCAGTGTCTTCTCTAAAGTCTCAGTACTTAAAAGTCTCACAATCATTATTTTTTTTAAAAAAAAAAAAGCTTTCTTGTTTTAAAGATAATATAAAACTTTTGTATCTGTCTCTGACATCCTTGTATGAACACCAACAAATAATGAACGTTCTCTATAATGAACATTTTTATTTCTGGATCTGAAATATTTTGTTTTGGCCATAATTCTTTCGCATTTTTTTTTTCAAAAGCATGCCTGTTTGAAATTCCAACAATCAGTAAAGTAATGAAAGATGCTGAAAGTTGAATAATGGTCCAGTACAATGAAATGCAAACAAACTTTGCAGAGCTGTATAAATAACTCTCATTCTCAATTGATTGATGGGGTGATAATAGCTTTGCTTCTGAGGCAGCTCCTGTGCCTTGATATTAATTGTGACTACTGACAACAGGAGTCCAGACTGATCTGGAAGGTGATACAAACAAATGTTTCCAACTGAAATATACTAGAAGGGGATGCAGGGCCATCTTAACAGCATTGTACTGGGGCCCCTACAACAACTACTCACAGGAATAAAAATGTAAATGGTCGGTAAAATTAAACATTTATTTTATTGGTACTCCCAATAAATAAATATGTAATAAATATGTTGCTGTATTTATATGATACAAGGTGCATTAAAGGGTTAACATACACAGATTAATACGATGCCCCTGTGCTCATGGGGCCCATAGGCAAGTGCCCATCAGGCCCATGCATTAAGGCAGCCCTGAGAGGAGAGGAGAGGAGAGGAGAGGAGAAATACCAAAGAGGAGTAGGGGATCCCTGAGGGGATGAATAGATTTTGGAGCTGATCTTGCTTGAGGTACAAGAATAGGAGGGAGAGGAGAGGAGAGGAGAGGTGAGGAGAAATATCAAATAGGAGTAGGGGATCCCTGAGGGGATGAATAGATTTTAGAGCTGATCTTGCTTGAGGTACAAGAATAGGAGAGGAGAGGAGAAATACCAAATAGGAGTAGGTAGTAGGAAAGGTGAGAAGGATAATATTAATACAGTTCTACAACATGATTAGATATCCTTAGTCATAAGATGGTGCTATGGGAATTATGTGTTTAGCAGAGTGATGACATGGTGT